GCTCACACTGCGCAGTCCCTACCGCGGGAGAAGGGGCTGTGCCCCGGGGGGGATCTGCGTCTCTTCCTCGCTAGTGTCCTGCCCCTTAGGGCGAACCTTCCTGGTGCCGTGCTCCAGGGGCGGGAGGGGAACTTCTGCAGCGGCCTGCTGCTACTGGGATACACCGAGGTTGCAACAGACTTCCAGTCACTGACCCTGAGCTGGTGAGCGCGCCCCACCTACTGTAAACTCGGCGAGTGGCAAGTGACTTATCTGGTCGGAGAACCTAGTCAATGGCCGTCAGCCCAGAACAAACCTGTCAAGTCTGCTTACAGCCCCATTAGTTGACCTATCCCTGTGAGGGAGCTGGTTCTGAAAGGCTGAGAACTGGAGCGCTTTTTACCGGGACCTTGATCAGCTGCAAGACGAGTCGTCCACCTTCTGCTTGGAGAAAATAGGCATCAGTCAACACCAATCTAAGAATGTCCTCCTTTTCTTTCCCCTGGGAAGTAGAACTCAAGGAGACAATTGGAGTCAAACACTGTGTTAAGATTTAGGCTGAGGGGCACTGGGAGATCAGAGATCATGTGTATTGCAGTAATTGGGAGTTGACGCCTAGGAAGGTCTAAAGAGGATTTATTCAGCATATGAGAAAGGAGATTGTATATGAGCACATCATAGTTGCAAGCAGCCCCTGAAGACTAGAAACCTCAAGAGACCTAGCTTAGAAGCCACAGGCCATTACCTAACTCCGAGACTACTAATTAAACCTTACAATGTTCTTAGCGATCTCTGAGGCTCCATAAATCTTGTAATTTAAATACAACATCCTTTTAAGATGGGACTACAGGAATTAGCATCCTGCTGAACCTTCAATGTTGGTATTTCCTGGAAGCTGATTTTGTGCATGGTCCTGCTGGGCCTGAGGGAGACAAGGATCGTAAGTTGGAAGAAAATGGAGAGCAACCTGGAAAGAGTAGGAGAAAGGGCTACTCCTACTTTGGTTTCCAAAGATGAAAATCCTGTTCATGCAGCCTAGTGTGAGCTAGAGAATTCTTTATTTTACAAATAACCAAGGACAAAGAGTCCCTGGTTTCTAGATGTTCCACTAGATTTCATTGTAAGAACCTGAGCTGTGCTCAATTGAATATCCACCACTGCTTGGTGGTCAAAGTGAAGATGAAGTTAAATGAAGGGAAGTGGATTGGGGAGGAGTAAAATTTTCCATGTCAGTTTCTCAGGATGCTGAGCTTGTCCCCAGAGACCCTGGAGCCTACTCATTGTGAGGATTACTTTTCCAGCATCTAAGCAGTTCTGAAATCCACACCTGGGAAGAAAATGGCTTCGTTTCTGCCCTGTTGGAGTTAGGCTTGAGGAGAGAGGATTCTTTTCAATCCCCACCAAGCACTTCCATCAGCTAAAGGGAGAAAATGGGAAGTAGTTTTGCTGCTACTCTAAGCATTGGGTCTCTCTACTTTTCTCTAGGGATGAATGAAAGGATCACCAATGTTGGCAGATATTTGGTCAGCCTGACAGCAATATCAGGTAGTTATTAGAAGTTGCTGAATAAAAACCTCCTCCCCTTCCCAGTTAAGCAGATTCCTAAAGGATAATATTGATGTATCCTTTTTCAAATTTTGTTTTTCTTCTTTTTTCTTCTACCCAATAAATCTCCTTACCCAAGTGGGAAGGCTGAAACCTCTTTATAGCTAACCCTATCTATAATGTACAGAGAGTTTTTTTAAAAAATGATTTTTAAAATTCAATGGCAAATATCTGCTTGTCTGTACCTTATGTTAATTTCCTCATTTTGATAATTAGTCTATGTAGCAGCTTAGAAGAGCAACAGCCATTTCCTTGCTCACCGTTCTATAATACAGACAGGACACAGTAGTGACAGCTTATCTCTGCTTCATGTAGTGTTGGTTGGGGTTGGCTTGACTTGGGCTGGAGGACTCAACATGACCTCAGTCACATGGCTAGTGCCCAGCCGTGGGCAAACTACGGCCCTCGGGCCGGATCCGGCCCGTTTGAAATGAATAAAACTAAAAAAAAAAAAAAACCGTACCCTTTTATGTAATGATGTTTACTTTGAATTTATATTAGTTCACACAAACACTCCATCCATGCTTTTGTTCTGGCCCTCCGGTCCAGTTTAAGAACCCATTGTGGCCCTCGAGTCAAAAAGTTTGCCCACCCCTGCTAGTGCCTCAGCTGGAATGATGGGGTTACCTAGAAGCTGGCTAAACCTATCTCCTTCTTTAGTCTCTTTTCCTCCAGAAGCGCATCGCCCCTATCAGGCCTTTCTCTTCAGCAAGGTAGCCAAACCTCTTTACATGATTATTATCTTCCAAGAGACCAAAAACTAGTCTCCAGGTCTAGGCCCAGAACTGTAATAGCATCATTTTTGCCTCATTCTATTGACCAATCCAAACAACAGAGTCTGTCAAGATTCCAAGGAGAAAAAACAGGCTTCATCTCTTGGATGGAGCATGTAGCAAGATGGAGGAATTACTGCTGGTCATCTACCACCATGACTGTAGCCCTTTCCCCTATCAATGACTATTCAAACATAATTTTCCCACGGTCAATTCAGCCCAGACTCTCTAGCATTTAAGGATCATCACTATCAGTTGACAACTTGATTGGCAATAGAATGCTTTCAGTTTATTATTTATTGTTTCTTAATCCTGTAATTTTTTTCATTTGCTCACTCATCTATTTTACATATATAATTCTACCTAGGATTAGTATATGTCACAAAAAGGCTTCATTAAAATAGTGAAATAAAACAACAGTGAGAATACATATGTGTGTATACGATATGTGTTTTGCATAAATACATGGGAAATATCTGGAAGAATAAATGAGAGAGAAGATAGCATGGGTTACCTCAGGATGGGAAGGGAGGGCTTCAGAAAGAAATTTCTCTTCTCATATATTGCTTTCTGTATGGTTTGAAAGTTCTCTACTATGATCACTTATTATTTTCTTAAGATAAAAAACTGATTTCATCTAGTAGAATCAATGCTAAAAACAAATAAATGACAATTATCAAAAGAATATCAAGTAAACCAGGATGAGAGCTCAACTCTTATACCATTATTAAATAAATGAGCACACTAAGGAATTTCCAGCATTTAAGGCTAAAGAACTGCTTGGTGTCTCCTGCACCATAGAATTACACTAGGGGCTCAGGGGCACGAATTCATGCACCTTAAAAGGAACTGTGGGCAGTGAGGCTGGGGTGGGCACAGGGGTGGGTCTCAGCCCATCCTCCACGCCCCTGCCCAGCCCCTCCCACCACGGCCGGCCCCCCTGGTCTCTTGTCTGCCTGCAGCCCTGCTGCTACTGCCGCTCCCACGCACTGATGGCACAGAGAGATTGGGGCCAGCGCCAGCAGTAGGTGCCAGTGGGGCCGGCACTGTCAATGGGTGCAAGCGGCAGCTGCTACCCCTATTGTCCCTCAGGAGCAGGGGGAGGTGGAGAAGCCCTCAGGGGCAATTAGGCTGGCAGCCACTTGCACCCGCTGATGGCGCCAAGCGATCAGGACCGGCACGGGACGCCAGCAGCGGGCACCGGCAGCGGGTGCGAGTGGCAGCTCCAGCATGGGCTACGGGTGCAAGTGGGGCTGGTGCCAGCAGTGGGTGCAAGTGCCGGACAGGACCACAGTACGCAGGAGCAAAGAATTTTTAGTAACCACCAGAGGATCGCCCCGATGACAGCAACTGGTTCCCCGCCTTGGTCTGGGTGCCCCCACTCACCTGCTCCGCCATCCCACGGTGGCCGATGCCCGCCATGTTCCACGTGCACCCCCTGGTGGTTAGCGCATGTTGAGACCGGTTGTTCGGCCATCCGGTCTATTTGCATATTAGCTTTTCATTATATAGGATAAGACTATCTGCCCTAAATTCCAGTTAGTAGAGATGCTGAGTAGTAGACAGGTTGTATCTTACCCTGAGTACCCTCTCCCCCTAAATCAACTGTCTCCACTAGATCTACTCTTCACTCTTTGTACTATTTAAAGAAAGTTTCCTCCAGAAATAATCATATAGGGCCACAAACTACCACCACCATTCAGGGCAATGGCAGACTACTTTATGATCCAAGAAACCGCAAAGATCCTTTAGTTCATTAATCCCTTTTTACAAATGAAGAAACTGAAGTCCAAAGGGTTTACATGTTTAGATTACACAGTTACTCAGAAAGGGATTCTGGATTGGAGCCTGGGAAATTTCCTGATATCTCTTCAGTGAATAAAGTTGGGAAGAAAACATTACATTTATAGAAACCTAAATAAGTTAGAGAAAAAATTGACGAGGCATGGCTTTTAATGGCAATTTCAAGACTTGACAGGGGTGATTGAAGGGAACAAGAAGACTGACTAAGTGAGAGACAATAAATAGGGAGTAGGGAAAGCCAGGGACAAGTAAACAATATATTTACTGGTGTTTACACTCTGCCTTTAACTGTCCTGAAATTAGCCTCAAGGATCAAAAATGAAAACATAAATTGCTGCATGTTGCAAATTTCTCCTCCTCGGTTCCTATGATCATTTGGAGAATATCTTCCAAACCAGGATGTAAAGGAGTTAGCCACTGTATGTGGACTGAATAAAAGAGAAGGGACCATATTCTTTTGAAAAGAAGGGAACACCAAGGCCACTGGGAATGGAGGGGAACACTGCCACCTGCTGAAGAGTTGAAGTCAATAAAAATGGTGCCAAGCACAGATAAAGCATCTTCAGCAAAATCAGTTCATCTATTTGCAGTGGGAGCAGGTCAGTGCCGAAAATTTAATTCTAGAGTCCTTCAGGCCAATCTGTGCTGGAGAAAGGTTAGTTTGTTTCTGGTATGGGGGCAAGGGAGAGGGGCGGGAGTGGGTATAGGCCCGCATCCCTGCTTCCCTTTCTTACACGAATAGTTTGTGCCTATTGGCTCTGAATTTTTTCCCAAAACCTAAATCTCGAAATAGTAAAATATAATTGGTTAACACTAGAGAAAAGCGATATGAGAAGCAGCAGCAATACAGAGAAGTTTATTCTTGTAATACATGCATGTGCTTTAAAATTCCCAGGGGCTCACCACCACCTGTCCCCAGATTAATGACTTTTTTTCTTTTTTCTTTTCCTCTTTCCATTTCTTCCTCTTCTATTCATTTACAAATGTACATACAAACAAAGGACAATTGCAAGAGAGGGCTAGGAGAAAGTTGCTAATCCTTTGTTTAAAACCTGTCTTCCCCCCTCTACTATGGTTTGAAGGTTTGTGCCCCCTGCTTCCCCCAATTCTTATGTTGAAACTTAACCCCCAAGGTGATGATATTTGGAGATGGGGCCTTTAGGAGGTGATTAAGTCATGGGGCAGAGCCCTCAGGAATGGGATTAGCACCCCTTCCCCCACTCCATAGGAGGCCCTCACTAGACAGAGAAACTGTTGATGCAAACACCTTGATCTCAGATTTTAGCCTCCAAACTCGTGAGAAATAAATTCCAGTTGTTTAATGCCACCCATGGTATTTTGTGATAGCGACCAGAATAAACAAAGACATTTCTGTTCTACCCATCCTTCTACTTACCTTTCTCCTGTCCTCTTTCTTGCCATTTTCTTTCTTCCTATTCCCATTTTCCTCCTCTTCACCTCTGTGTTTAAAGATTCTCCTTATTAATATACAAGAAAGTGATATAGCTGGGAGGCCAGATGGGAAGGTGACTTTTACAGGACAGCCAGGTTACACAGCTTCAAGGGCCAAAGCTCACATCGTATGTGATGCTGTTATTTCATGCTTTTTTATTTTTCAATCACATTAATGTAGCATCTTTAATTTATACTTAATTTTTAAAAAACTAACCTTAGTGTCCCAATCGTGGGCCACAATTTAATTCCATGATTCCACTTAATAATACAATAAAGCAGTTCTAGACCCTGCCCAGTTATAAGTTTCTTATTAACAATGCTTTAGGATTAAAAAATAAGTTAGAAAGATACTCTCCTTGTGATTTAGATTTTCTGTCTTGTAGGAACATCAGAAAGAATACCACAGGTCCGGCTGGTGTGGCTCAGTGGTTAAGCATTGACCTATGAACCAGGAGGTCATGTTTCGATTCCCAGTCAGGGCACATGCCCAGGTTGCAGGCTCTATCCCCAGTGTAGGGTGTGCAGAAGGCAGCCAATCAATGATTCTCTCTCATCATTGATGTTTCTATCTCTCTCTCCCTCTCTGAAATCAATAAAAATATTTTTAAAAGAAAGAAAGAAAAGAAGGAAGGAAGGAAGAAAGAAAACCTCAGAAAAACCTCACGTTGTCAGACCTAGGTTTGAAATGTTATCTTTTCTAAATACAATAGCTTGAGTTTTCTTTTATGGATGGATGTTTGCTACTTAAGTTTGCTTAAATGTTTTTCATTTCTTACAAGATTTACCAGTTTTATATTCCAGGAAACCCTAGAGGAAAAGGATGTCTATAAACAAAGATCATGGTACTTAAAAATTAATTTGGGAATATGTCAAATTTTTAACATAAATTTCATGAAGCCAGGGAACTGGAAGAAAGTTAATAGATATAAACAGTATACTTTCTAAAGGGGGAAAAAAAAAAACCCTACCTCATTGACCCAGCTCTAAGCCATAAATAATCTGATCTAAAATTTATTTTCTGGACATAGTACCTTGGTCCTGGCTGCCTCCCAGTGTGCAATCCCAGGCCATTCATTGGCTGCTATAGCTCATAGGACCACTCTTTTCCTGTATCACCTGTTGAAACAAGTAAGAGTGTTATTGATGGAAGTGGAGTTCTTGGGGTGCCATGAGGAAAAGAGTTTCCTGAAGCTCCAATGGGAAGATGGGGTTCCTTGGAAAGCTTTATTGATGATGTAAAATTAAGAGGGGTTCCCCTCCAAGGTCCCATCTCTGCCTGTGTTGCTATGGAAGAAGTCCAATCTTGTCTTCAGCAGGGGTAGAATTAAGGCCATTGCCCATAATTTCTGCTTCATATTAAAATACAGTCCAGTCTAGCATCCTGTGTGTGAAGTCTGCATGGATATGGACCATGTGGCTGCCTAAGGCCACATGGCTATGTAGAGAGAACAAGCAAATGCATGGGTGTGTGCTGGTCACAAAGCAAGAGAGGAGCAAGAGAACAAGAGAGAGTAAACCCTTCATCTGGGGATTTTAACTTTCCAAGATTTCATGAATTTCTGATGGGGAATAGCCCCTACCTTATCCATTGTTCTGACAGACAAGCACCTTCCCTAGTCACCCGGACTTCACTGCATATGTGCCCATCTCCCCCTTTGTTCGATCCCTTCCCCCAGTGATCTGCAGAGAATGGACCTGTGATTCCCTGGGGAGCATGAAGATGTAGCTTCCTGGTGAAGCTACCCAGATGACCATGCTTGTAATGTCTGGCCTCCTCTTTGCTCTCTCCCTATATTAATATTAACTAGTTAATTATGACTATAGGAGGAAGACTGTTATTAAGATGTGTCTTATTATTAATGTATTCTTATGGACTTACTGTCAGATACTATATTTTATTATTAAGTCTTTATAATGATTTTAAAAATAACTTGTAACTGTAAAATAGGATTGTCTATGTTTCAAATCTTGTTTATTTCATAATGTTCAGGCATTCGTCCTATTCACCAGTTAATTTTTCCTTATTTAAATTTAGCATATTAAACCTTCTCAGTCTCTAAAGGAGAATTCTCCTGCCTGAGAATGACCATTATTCTATTTTTGAAATGTATTGTCCTTTTCAACTACATCCAGAAATTTGCAAACCAGAAAATTTTTGCCTAAGAGTAAACTACCTTAGTATTTGACTTACCTTGATAGCTTACTTGGCTTGGGCTTGCTATCAAAATCTAGGTCAAGCAATCCTGACTCCTAGTTTTCTCAAACTGAACAAACTACTTCTAATAACCTTCTGCACTAGACATCTGTTTATTTTACAATTAACAGAGGTTTTAAGAGGCCTTACAGGCATTTTTGCTTCAGGTCACAGAATGCAAATCAAGTACAGTGCTGTCTTTATGCCACCTTGGTTGATGTACACTAAGGATACCCTTTAAGGAAAGAAAGTCATGAATGAAAATACTTCCTGAGATTGTCACAAAGCAAATTATAGAAATAAATTAAGTATATCTTAGAACTCTCATGGGTTACTCATTGGTCACCAATTATTTAAAGAAAGTGACCATGATCTTTTCCCAAAGTTAGAAACCTCCTATGATTCACATAGACAGACATTCAGAGGGACTTCTCCTGAGTCCTTGAGCGATACAGCAACGTCATCAGTGATGTTGGTTCCGTGAAAGAGGCACACAGCTTAGGAGACTCAACACTAGCAATTCTTCTACTTGAATATGAACCTGAGTAGCGGTCATCAAACTTGAGAACTGAGGAACTCAGAGAGTGTTAAGGAGATCAATTCTAGGCCTTTAACTTCTATTCATACTCCCTCCTAAATCTGATTTACCCGAGAACCAGTGTAGTTGACTGGCTTTCATGGTTCCTAATCCCCACCTTCTCTTCCTCCCACTTTAAAAGAGAAAGGTGTAGGTCTCTCCTTCTGAATGCTAAAACAATTTACTTCCCCAAAGTGTAAAAACCTGCAAGGAGCTAAAGAGACAATCTGAAATAGTGATGTTAATGTTGAAAAGCTGAGTGATACTACTGAGTAACAATCCCTTTTGAAAGTTAGATTGTTTAACATTACTAGTTTTCTAGTAAACTGAGGGAAAGCCTATTCAAATGGTCCACTAATAAATCATTTAAAATGAGATCACTAAGTGTTGTATAGCATATATTTTGGAAAGCTTTCAACTAAATAAATGACATCACTAAAACAATTCCTTTCAATTGCCATCTACTTACTTCTGTAAATAATATTCCTCAGTGTTTACAATATAAAGCAAAAACTAAGGATAAACGGATGCTGAATCTACCTCCTAGAAATAAATAAAATTCATTTATGATATACAAACCAATTTTTTAAAAGCTCCATTGATATTTTCATGTTAAATGTTTGTCAATATTTTAAAATATTTAACTGATCAATTATGAACTAGGAATAATTGATGATAACTCTATTCAGAAGAATTGTTAACAGTAGTATGGTCTAAGGCAGTGGTTCTCAACCTTCCTAATGCCGCGACCCTTTAATACAGTTCCTCATGTTGTGGTGACCCCCAACCATAAAATTATTTTTGTTGCTACTTCATAACTGTAATTTTGCTACTGTTATGAATCGTAATGTAAATATCTGATATGCAGGATGTATTTTCATTGTTACAAATTGAACATAATTAAAGCATAGTGATTAATCACAAAAACAATATGTAATTATATATGTCTTTTCCGATGGTCTTAGGCAACCCCTGTGAAAGGGTCATTCGACCCCCAAAGGGGTCGCGACCCACAGGTTAAGAACCACTTATCTAAGGGATTTTACATAATTTAATTTAAATTTCTATATAAAATTTGTTGCAGAAAAATATGATAGAATGATTGATCAGATATTCACACATAATGTATGTTACATTTAGATAAAAATTTGTGGCAGAAGTGTGAAGAAAATTCAAGTCCAAAGAAAAAAGGGAGGGATGAAAATTTCTCACTGTAAGCGAAGAGCTTGTTTATGTTAATATTTTGATGGATGATGATGAGTCTCAAATCACTATGATATTTATATTCCATTGGATGCCTTTAAGAATTCTACTTTTAAATGTTAATGTTTACATTATAAGGAAATTACTTCCTTAATAACTACTTAAGTTTATGATTCAAAAGTTTTATTCTAATTCTAAAATGTGTAAGGAGAAAAGGTTCTTCCAAATTGTTTGCTAACAAAAAAAGTTTAAAGACCCCTGTGCTAGTGGAACTTCTATACATGTGCATAAGAAAACATATATATGAATGTTCATGGCAACATTATTTTCAATAGCAAAAAGTTAGAAAGAACCTAAATGTCCATCAATATGATAAAGAAAATGTAATATTTTCATGTGGAATATTATATACCAGGTTGAAAGGAATAAATTAGATCAATTTATCCACATGGAAATATCTCAAGATTTACCAGACCCTAGTTAGAAATCTCATCCTCAGAATTACAGTGAGTCCATCTTTCTCTCATATTGTGTCCTCTCACAACAAAGAAACCAGTCCAGGAAGCAGGAAGTCCACAGGCTCTGTGACATCACCCATACCTTGGCCCTGAAGCAGAGAACTTTGAATGGGTGTGTAATATGATCATATCACAGTTATGATCATGAACACTCCACAGTTGTCTGAGGCATTTTAATGACTACCCCAGCTGGGAGTGGAGGGGAGATTAAAAAGGCCAAAGGACCAAGAGAAGAAAAAGATTTCCTCATTATCTTTTTGAAGTCTCTACTTACGTAGAAAGGGCAATTAGGTATTTATTTACCTTTCTAGGATAGATAGAGGAAATAATCTAGCAAATATCCAATGCTGAGATAAGCAGAAAGTGACTCTTAGAAAGAAATTAAGTCTATGATAATAAAATCAGGATTCAGGAGTTTATTTCTATAGGAAAGCAAAATCACAAAGCCCAGTAATGACAATTAAGTTCATTGCCCATACATATGAATTTCATTCTTCTCTTTCTGTTTAGAGAAATCTACTTAAATATTTGAATACTTTGAAGATTAAATCCTATTTTCTCACTGATCCCAATATAAAAATTGGTGATAAAAAAATGGAGAGGTAATAAGAGCAATGATGTTATCATTTCTGCAATTTTCCACCTCCAGGAATTTTCTCCCTAAGTTCCCAGTATTCTGCAAGGACTTTCCCAGAAGACTCATCCCATCTGTTCACCAGACATGTCAACACAGGTCCAAACCTCCCTGGTGAAGCAGCCTTCATACAAGTACTTCCACCAAACTGGGAAAGGAAATGTTGTCGGATGGGTTGTATTCATCGACCCTCATAATGTGTATGTCAAAGGAGGATGCAGGGTGGTAGCCCTGGACATAAAATTAAACTGGATTGCTATCAATTGATAAATATTTCCAAGTTTTTGCTTCATTTAATACTTTCCTGTTACTCCATTCTTCTCTTTTGAGCACACACTAAAGCATTTCTTGAGTTAATTTATAAGAAATACTTCATCTGAGTCACTTTTAACTTCTCTGTATACTACTCCCCCACTGCCTTACCCTGAAAGAAAGGTACTTCACTATGTATATTCAAATCATAAATTCCTAGAGAGGCTATTTAGCATGGAGGCTAAAAGCACCATTTCTGGAGCCAGATTGTCTGCTTTCAAATTTTGCTCTGCCACTTACCAATTGTGAGGTCTTTAGCAAGTTATTTCATCTTTTTGTATCGGAGCGTCCCCACCTGTAAAATGAGGATAATAATAGTGCCTACCTCGTGGAGTTGTAATGGGGATTGAGGATTATGTTACTTAGAACAAGCCTAGCACATAGTAAACACTTTATACGTACAAGTTAGCTGTTTTTGAATGCAGATACTAAATCTTATTCTATTTTTTTTCCTTGTTACCATCTCTGATACCTTGCATATTGTTCAACATATGATAAGCTTTTAAATAAATGCTGAATGAATGCTGAAGCACTATCAACAACTGCAAGATAGAAGAGGGTAGGAAAATAAGGATCTCCCAGTCCTTCAAGATGTCCCCAATAAACAGTACTTTTTGAATAATTTTATGGATATAATCTTATGTCATACCAGTGTTTCAGTTAAGCATTTTAAAAAGCTGCAATAGCCTCTGAGTCCCTCTAGACAAGACTTGGTAATGAAATGATCCAATCACATTGACCTGCCTCATGTTTCTCTTAAGTCACATGTCCAACATTGTGACATGGGCAAGAATGCACACAACCTTCCTTTTCCACCTAGTCAAAGTTCTCTGAGGGGGGCCAGGTTCAGGAGATGTCACCTCCCCCATGGACTATATAGCTTCCTGGATAATGTCCCCTGCAAATTAGAAGGATGCTAGTCCCAACTGAACTCTGCAAAGAGCAAATCAGTGCTGGCTTCTCAAGAACCAGCCTCATTCACCATTGTCAGAAGGTACAGTAACACTTGGGACCAAAACTTCATCTAGACTCTCTGAACAACTCCTAACTATATCTCAGTCTTCGCTTAGTGAAGCCACACACACTTCCCCCTGAAATTTCTTAGCGGTTAAAAACAAACAAAAAAAACCCTTTGTC